TTGTAAATAGAAAAAAAAGAACCAAAGTCTCAAACAAAGGATCACAGAGACAAATTGAGAAAAAGATAAAGACTAGATCAGCTCCATTACTAGAAAGGCAGTAAATCTTATAGTCAAAATGTAAAGGCCCTTTCTTTTAAACTGTTCATAATTATACTAATGGTTTCGTGAAAATGTCACCTGTGAGCTCTAGGATGACATTGTAGTGACGTCGAACAGTTGTTCTTAAACTTCTTGTTGATGATGATAACAACGATAAGAATTACGGTCAGAGCAATCTGTCGTTGACACATCTTTAAAGATCGTCGAAGTCGGTTCACGACAATCTTGTGGTGGTATGTGTTGACGATTAACAGACGGAGGTGTTTGTGTACGGGGACGATTTGTTTTTCGATCAAGACGATAAAAGTGTGCCGCATTGAATCTATTTTCATTTATCATTATTTATTCATAATCTTGACTTTTTTCCGGATTTCTTAAATGTACTTTTCCACTGCATTTATATACATTTAACAAAGTGGAAGAATAAACCAATGACATTTAACTATGTTGTAATATGTACAAATACAAACAACAGAGAAGAAAATTCTAAAGTGACCGATAACAAAGAGATACAGAAATCGAAAGAAGAAGAGCTAACTGATATAGATCAACACGGTTTACATATGGATAAACAGGGAGAAGGTGACTGGATACGTATCTGAAATATGATAAAGAACCACTTCTTAGCATCTCCCTCCTTCTGCTAGATGAGCGATCCACCTGCTCATCTATTTTACGATACCCGACAATCGGAAAACGCGTGTGAATGCCTTAGGTTTCTCGAAAAAACTCGCTCGAGGGCACGTGGCGTATCTGAACATGTTTCTTTTCCATCAAAATAAAAACAATTTGTATCGGTCGCATCTGAGTTCACACGTGACTAGACGCGATTTTTACTTATCGAGATGAAAACAACCGCGTAAACACGTTCGTCTCTGTGACTATATTTTCTAATGAGTTACGCTGCTTATAATTCTATAAAATCTGAGAGTTTATGGTTTATTGACGATACACATATCCTGCTAATGTTTCATGGAAAAACAAAAGGAATCCCAGAAGTCTAAATTTTAATGACACAGAATAGTCTTCATCGGTTCTTGAAGGCAAGTTGGCTGAACCCATCGACAGCAAGAAACTAAGCATACACTTTACCTGTACTGAAAGTAACTGATAGTTAGACTGCTTTCAGATACCCATTTGCAAAGATAACACTTCAATCCTGGGGACCAAAAACATCAAACCGTTGGGGTAAAGAATGTGATGTTGCTTATTCGTCAATACAGCCAACTTGGGAACATGAAAACTTTGTCTTTAGGGTATACGTTCCACAGAATATCGGTAACACTACAAAGTCTACAACCTATATTTTTCTTTAATCCAGGTTGATCCATGTGGACATCGACTGATGGTTGAGTTTTTTAACCTATACGAAGGGGTAACGAAAATTTGTTTTTCACGGTGTATAAAAAATAGTTCACGTTGTATGTTTTGATTAACGAAGGAAGAATTTTTGATTGGAATCATGTTTATTGATCTAACTGAATGGATACCAGTAGATAAAATGTCGAAAAAAAATTATGCATTGAGTACAGACAAGTAAAATCTTTGAGCGAAGTTTTAGTTAATGTGAGTCAGAGTGGTTTCTCTGGATTTGTTTTTTAGGCATATGTTAACTTTAGTTGGTTTGGCTACTATCGGACTGGTCTACATCGACGATGTATCAGATCTACTACAAGATGATTTTGAGGTACCAGTGAACAGCATTGACAAATAAAAGAGTCATATTTTGAAAGAACTTATTGTTTCTTTCGAACATTTACTGATGCCACAAACCTTAAAAGCTCCACACCCTCAGAAATTAACTCTGACATCGTACATTCGATTTTGATGTCTTATCGTTTAGGCATTTTCCAGAGATCAAGGTCTGAAAACGACTCTGTAGCTTTCCCAAAGAATTTTAATATACTTCAAGCTAGTGAGTTCGGATTTGTGTTATTTTAAACAAGGTACTTAACTACGTGGGCTGACCGGTGCCGATTTTTTCAACTAAGCCTGTGTTCGTTTTTCAGAGATCCAACAGTCTCAAAACTCCCAAACTTCCTTTTGATTTTTCTAGAGGTCTAAAAACATGTATCAGTTTTTCTTTTAGGACAAAGATCGGTGTATAATTGGAATACAAACTGAAAATAAAAGCGAAGATGATGATCAAAATGAGAAATTTTCAGAGCATCCTTATCGTTACGGCGATAGCTCTCGGTAAGCTTTGGTGAATGCATAAAACCCCTCTCAAAATAAATAAAAGATCTGTGGTCTTCTATTATGTTCTAGCGTACCAATTTTTTAGGGGATCCTGGGCTCTTCTATTACGAGGGGGCTCCTAATACGAATTTCTGTGCATAAAGAGTCGAGTATCGTTATCACTTACTGCCTGATGTTACAGCTGATATTAATGAAATTTAAAATCATCCATTTTCTCCTCCACGTGGTATTGATATCTCTTCTCTGTACTCTATTGCTTTCATTCTCGCTGATAATTATTTTTTCTTTCCCACGAAGAAAATATATTCTCTTTCTACAGAAATAAAATATTGCTTCCTCTTTTATTCTTTGTGACTTCATTCTCCATGAACTTGAACTTGATTTTATTTTACAAACAAAGCTGACTTTACGAAAAAAAGCTCCTGTAGGAGAGCAGAAAAAGTAAAAAATACTTATACACACTGCCACCTGGAGTAGCAACACCACAAGAGAGAGAATACACGCTTATACCTATAGATACATTCTTACAGAGAGTACAGAAATAACAACAGAAATAAAAACAAACCCACAGAAAACACCATTAGACACAATTCAACAATAAGTTGACGAAAATAAGTTATGAAAGAATGGCGTAAAATGACTGGTAACAGAAATACTGACTGTTCATCAGTAACACACTATATCAGGACAAAATGCTTTCCGTTCCTTTTCACAAATTTTCAGGTGTTAAGTGCAGTAGTGTTCTATATTTTTCTCTGAAAATGACTCTATGAAGAGTTCAAACGTCACATCCTTTTTAATTAAATAAATTTAAATTCAATATATGGCTGCTATATATCTAAAAAAGGCTAAAGAGCTTCCGAAGTATTCATTACAAGACCTGGGTCTTCTATGGCGAATTTCGTATCGTTTCCGTAGAAGGGTCTTCTATTATGAGGGGAGGGGGTTACCGCATTCCAGTGCTAAGTAGCATTCTTTTGAAAAAATTTTAGACTATAGATTCTATGAAAAGTAGAGGTGGCGGAACCACCAGGTTGAGTAGGACTTGGCACTGGTAGACTGAGCATTAACCCGTTTTGATGTAGAATTTAAATTTTTTCATGAGTTTACTTATATTGTATTGAAGAAAACAAAGAGAATTAGATAACAGCAGAGTTTCGCCGCGCACTCGTACCTTCTCTACAGCACTTTTTCTTGTTTTTGTAGCGTGCGTTACTTGAGGATCGATAGATTAGCCTTAAAATCGATCTCCAAAATGCGACAATGATGGTCACATCCAATTTTTTGTCTTCTTTTGCAGTTTTATCCGCGCTAACTTTATTTTATCGATGAGACGCACATCTCTAATGTTGAAAACTTTAGCGCAAAAATGCGTGCAGCTCTCGCCCCAAACAAACACCTGTTTCTTAGACTCATTTAGATTGCTAGTTTCCGACTTATTTCCTAGGTGCAATCAAACAACGTGAATCTTTCGGAACATTCGAAGATTCTGATAACGTTCTTATCGCAAAATGTGCGTTATGTAGATGTAAAGATCAACGTTTTAGATTACTATTCATGTCCAGTGCTTTAGATAATCTTTTTAATGAAGAATTTTTTTATGCCTGATGTACCCAAGCGTCAAAAAAAAATCTAGTATCGCCCCATTCATCTAGATTACTCGATTTTTTCTAGTTGCAACTATCGATTTATCACCCATCTAGATGACAACTAGTCGTGTAACGCGCCCGATTATAGACGAAATCTATCTAGATTTTCCCATAGGTGATATTTGCTCGGGTAAGAAAAATCCGAAACAATTTGTTTTGGGCAACGAACTACCTTGCCGAGTCTTTAGTTTTCTTCAGTTAAACCAGTATTTCGCGAAACACAAATTTGCACTATCAGTTTTGCTCCTTTCATGACTTTTTTGAAAGGGCTTTCATCATCGAACAAACATCTACTATACTATGGAATGATCACACTTTACCGGATACAACCAGTATTGTTGACGAATTAATACTTATTTGGTTAAACGATGATTTTGATTATAAATCCGATTGTTATGAATATATTTCATGTTTACGTGAGATCATCAGTCATTTAGAACTATTTTCGAATCTGGACGATTTTCATAATTATTTGAATTCAATTGATCATGATCACCTCTTTGTGATAATATCTGGATCATTTTGTTCGATAATCCCACAGGTTATTCATGAAATCAGTGATGTGCTTGGCATTTTTATTCTTTGTCACCAAGACAAAGTCATCTACTGCCAACGAATAGCTGGTAGGTATAGACTTCAGTGAAGTGTTCGACACCTCCACTTTTGTTCAAAGCTGGAACGATAAGGAGTTCACACCTTCGGATTTCATGAAAATTCGTCATACGTTTTCAGTTTTCTACACGCCTGAAAATGGAACATTCTTATGGAAAACTCAACGTTTAACGGAAATTGAAATATGAGGATTTTAGGAAGAGATACATTCGATGCTAAAACAGAAGTTTGGGAACAGTTTTGCTACTTAACTTATACCATTTTGTAAAGAAACGCTGCTGTTGTGCAGGGTTCGTGATCAAAACAGAACGTTTCTTTCATAAGATAATTTCCGTTGACCTTGAAACGGTTGAACAATTCATGCGAAGTTTTCAGTTTCTCCTTAGTGAGAGTGTTCCCATTCACAACAGTAGCTATTTTTTTATACATCCGTAGTTCATGGATATCGTTTCAGCTAAAATTCCTGATATTCGCGGAGTGTTTCATCATGTTAATGCATTAGCTACACAGCTACGTCAACATGTACAACAAGTGGCTAGTACACAAAGTACTAATACCGAATCAAACATCCCTGGCGAAGGTATAACAACACGTACTTTGTGCTCAAAACGAATAAAATTCAAATGTTTCCAAATGCTTACTCGTATTCTCTGTCAGACATCGCCGCCTGAAACTACTGCAAAGCAGCAACTGCTAGAATATTGTCGTCAGGCTAACATTGCCGAAGAATTTGGTGAGTATGAACAGCTTGAAGAATTTGAAAATGAGTATGATGCTGATAAGTCAGTTTATTGGTATACACGTGAATCATTTCTGTTTCGATTATTGAGCAAAGCAGCTCGACAGTGGGATGTCGACGTGCTGCTTGATTTCGGATTCTATATATCCAATCTTGACAAACAATTGAGACAATTACATCGAGAACAACAAACTCGTTTTATGACTAATAATCGGTTATTTCGTGTCTATCGTGGGCAGTTTATGAATATGAGTGAACTTGAAAAACTTCAAAATAATATTGGTAGTTACATATCAATTAACACGTTTTTGTCAACTACCGAAGATTACGAATTTGCTCTTTGTTACGCTCAATCACCTACCGACATGTATGAAAATGTTTTGTTTGTTATCGATATTGATACGACTGCTGATGTTATGAAATCGTTTGCACATATTGAAAATTTAAGCGCATTTAAGTCTGTGAAAGAAGTGCTTCTTACCACAGGAACAGTATATCGAATTCGTTCCATTAAAAGAACAACCGGTATTGATAAAGATAATGTGTTTGTTAATTACTGGAAAATTCATCTTATAACTTGTAATAGCGAAAATAGCTTTAGTAGCGATGATTTTGACATCATAATATTACACCTGATAGATATTTTACGTCATTTATCGTCGAAAACCAATACTATGAATGAAATGATGTTAAAACGATGTCGATCATATTGTATGAGAAATGCCGTTGAACTGCAGAAAATTGATTGTTTTGAAAAAAAGGTATCGCTCAGGTGATGCAATACGAGAATATACAAAGGACACATTTCTCTATCGAATGCTAAATCGTGCGCTTCGAACGGAAGACATGAATACAATATTAGATTTTCGATATTTTATATTAGACTTGTATAATCAATTGTATAAAGTGCAAACTGATTTTGATCGATCTTCTATGACCTTGCCGAGAGCCAAATCAGATCGTACATTAATCGTTTATCATGGGCAATTAATCAGTTCAAAAGAGCTTAGCAAATTAAAACGCAATATCGGTGGGTACATAATAATAAATACATTTTTATCTACCACTACATCAAGTGAAATAGCTCTGTTATATGCTGGTGATGGTTTGCAGCGTCCAGTATATGAGTCAGTGTTGTTTGAAATCGAGTATGAACTTCAACATCGTATAGACAGGAAAAAACCATTTGCAGATATTAGTCATATTAGCCAAATAAAAGATGAAAATGAAGTTCTGTTTACTGCTGGCACAATATTTCATGTAAAATCCTTGAAAAGATTTAATGATGATCTCTGGATTTTACATTTACATTTGTACAATAATGAAAATGAAGAAATAAATGAAATTGAAAAATCAACGAAGCTTATTCTATTACTGGCACTGCATAATCAGTTATCGGCGCTTTCTGTTACAGATAAGAAAGAAACACAGCAAGGTGTTGTAACGGACCTAAACAAGTCAAAGTACAAAAATTTGATGATAAATTTCAAATATCGTTATTTATTTTATCTTATTATTATAGTTGTACTCTACTTTTATCTTCGCACAGGGAATTAGCTCCAGAGTTCAGTTGAACTTAAGTACATGTAAATAAGACAATCTTGATAATAAATAAACTATGACACTGGGACAAATGCGACAAGTAAAGCCATTTTCTGGCTTGATAGTAAACTTAATCACAGGATGTAAATTATCCGTTTGATTAATAAGTTATCTATGTTTACATTGTCCGGCACTAATGTAAAAGTATTATCAACATTCCTTCGCTAGACAATTAATTTTGAGTTATGATTTATAAAATTAGAAATACATTTTGTTCAAAATTCGACATAAATATTTCCGTAAATGCCGGCGCAAGAGGAGATCGCAAATACTTCATAGAAAAATACCACTAGTTCAGCAGCAGATACATCTTTGGCCAGTTGACATATATGAGACATAAATTCTGCTGATTGTTCTTCTGTGACATCAGCAACGTTGTCTACTTCTAACCAGCTATTTTCTCTCGTATTTGCCACAAATTCTTGATTTTATTCTCTACGTATTACCGTCAACGATCTACAAAGAAGAATTTCAACAGACATTCATTGGTAAGAAATTGATCAACAAAAAACAGATAACAAAGGCAACGCATTATAATATTAAAATGAAAATGAAAGTTACGAAACCAACTGCAGTATTGACTATCTCATAAACGGTGACACAATGTGACAGATAGATACAAAAGCTGCTTTTTTGCTAAATCTTTGTTCGCTTAAATCTTTGTTTTTTCGGTATAAAACAACAACACTTATATATGCACCAGACCTTGTAATAAGTTTCTGCAATGAAAATTTTTCTAAAAAATGTCGCAAGATAGAATATCCATGTGTTTACGTTTCTATTCTGGACAAGTTGAAACACAGAAAAGTTGTAAGAAAGTAGCAAATGTTTTAGAACAGACGCTTTGCTCAACAATTTTCTGGACATTCAAAACAACAAAATCGCGCGTGATCTCGCGTGTATTACTAGAACGATGAAAAAGTAAAAACAAGTCAATTTAGAACTTTGATGAAAAAACTATTGTTAACGGTGTTTTTCAAAGTAAATATAGAATGTAAAAATGTTATCAAATCTGTTACTGCGTTAAGAGACATTCCATGATAATGCCAAAGAGTAAAAAAACATGGTAGATTTCAGATTCTGGATTCATTCATTTCGGAAGATAGCTGACTCATACTATATTCAAATCCAAAATACTATGATTTGAAAGCTTGTTCCTAAGCGGCTAGAGCCGATACACTCCATGTACCCCTTTTTATACCCCTAAAAATCGAGATTATTCGATTATCAAAGTATTTGGATTTTTTCTTCAGTATTTCAAGACTGTTGAAAAGCCGTCATTTGCAAATCCATAGAGCTTGCTTCGCTCTAAAAAACTGAATGCAGGGTTTTCCGTCAATCCTCAAACTGCATTGAGAGGGGCGTAATATTGTGTTGTTCACATGAAACTGTATCCATGATTTTACCAATATTTTCACCAAATACTTAGGCCAACTAAAGACTTCCAGAGCTGAGGCTAAATGAGCTTGTAAAACTGGGTTCATCCTTTTTTGAACCTGTTTGTCTCTCTTGGGTATAACATATTGTTAGTTGGTTAAATTACGGATTAAGCAGTGCACCCAACTAATAGATAGATAGATAGAGAATTAACTAGGCACTTAAACGTACCGATTGTTAGGCACACAGTCAGATACTTAAATAAATAGATAGCGAGATAGTTAGATAGATAACGGATCGCTCAAAAATAATAACAGTCTTAAAATTTTAAGTTTGCTGTTCTTCCGTATACTTGATTAAACAAATCTCTTAATCCAATCATTCTGCATTCAATTGTGTGTAAAGTCGTGTATTTTACTGAACAAATTAAATTCGTTCTATTGTGTTAGAGGCGTCACTATCATATGATGATATCAAGTACAAAATGTGAAATATCGTCTTTTTCAAATCTTTATATAGTGTTTGTATTCTCGATCTTCAGCGTGCCCTTAGGGAACAATGTTTCCAGTTCATAGTTTAAAATAAACCGTTGTAATGGCATTTTTCTCACCGAACCGGTTCAAACTATGAACTGAAAACATCGATCGACAAGGAAAAAACTCAAATTGAGAAACCGAAGACGATATAAAAATTTGAAAAAAACGATCTTTTACATTTTGTAGTTGATATCATCATATGATGACTGCGTCTGTGAAACAACAGAATGAGTTTAACTTGTTCAATAAAATACATCATTTTCTGGATAACTAGATGGAAATGTTCTGGTTAAAACATTTGTTTAATCCAGTCTACAGAAACATAAAAATTAAGAATAGTAAGACTATAATTATTGTTGCGCCACGCGATACACTCGGAACGCTTTTTTCATCGCATGTGTCGCAAACACCTTTCATCGGAATGATTTATGTCACAAAAATTGGATCTATTCCAAAAAGCGTCACTATTTGCAACCCATTTGACTTTTGCGACATAAAACATGGCGAAGTGAACTGCTTAAGGCACACGCGACGAGAATAATTATGTCTATTTTCTAATATAATTGTATCTATTTTCTTTGTTTCTTTCCCACTCAAGAAACAAGTTGATTTCGCAATACAAGAACACAATGACCCTAGTTCACAAGTAGAGTTGGCTATACCAGTGGAAGCGAAGGACATCGATACAATCAGCAATCGGTTGCTGGTAAGTGAGAAAGAAAAACACAAGAGCGGCTAACGATTTCTTAAAACAGCCCAATACTTTTCAGCTTTTTTCGCATAAAATTGGAAGAATACTATGATAGTAACTAAAGTGGTGGCAAAAAGTTTAACAACAAACTTGTTTTTGTTCTTTCTGTTGAATCCTAGTAGCTACAATAAATCCTGACGATAGGTTCGTACAGTGCTGACTTCGATGTGTGTATATATATTATTCAAAAAATTTCAATTTGACTTTAATCTGTTAGAAAAAAGATTTTCTCAGAAATCCAAGATCTTCCAAAATCCTGCTTTTTAAGAACCCAATGCAAACATTTGTTTTATTATTCCGTAAGATAGAGCAAAGTCTTCTCTTCAAAATGAGACCTTCCGCAGTTCTCCTCAACAGTCTTTCATTGAGTTATGACTTTTACACGAAAAGCTCTAAAGTGATAATCAGCCTATGACAGTTTTTTTTTCGTAACGTTGCCGGGACTTCTGCTTGTGGGGCTCTTCATGTAAAAGTCATAACTCAATGAAAAACTGTTGTGGAGAACTGCGGAAGGTCTCATTTTGAAGAGAAGACTTTGCTCTATCTTGCGGAATAATAAAACAAATGTTTGCATTGGGTTTTTAAAAAGTAGGATTTTGGAAGATCTTGGATTTCTGAGAAAATCTTTTTTCTAACAGGTTAAAGTCAAATTGAAACTTTTTGAATAATATATATACACACATCGAAGTCAGCGCTGTACGAACCTATCGTCAGATTTATTGTAGCTACTAGGATTTACGAGAAGGAACAAAAACAAGTTTGTAGTTAAACTTTTTGCCTCCACTTTATACTTATCTCTTTTATTTTGTTACAAAATGAGTGATATGGCCATATGTTTAAGAGTAGTCAACGAAATATTTAAGTGTCTCTGGACCTGTAGAATATCTGAGGAACTAAGGGATTTCTAGAAGTTCTTCCAAATGGACACACGCCTAATTAATTGTTGCTAGTGAATCTGTAACGTGTAAACTCCTTTAGACTTTTTCTTGCAGTCATAAGTTTTATCCATCAGTAAAATATTATCTCCAATAAGCTCAATCGACTATGAAGAGTTATTCGTAAAGTGAGAAAATTCATACTTTTTTTATTCGATCAGTTATATTTTTATCATAAAATGATAAACATAAGGTACAGGTCAGAATGGATTAGATTATATGGCTGTAAAAGATGAGAGAGGATGTGCCGTATTTCAAATCACATAATTGAACGGTTACCAGTAATGTGTGTAATATACTGACATAAAAGCTTGTTTTCTGAATAAAAAAAAAGCATCGAGATGCAGCATAATGAAAATAAAGATCGGATAATAATTTCTTACAAAAACCCGCGCACTCATTCTTTTCAGCTCTTTTCGAATAAAATGAAAGAACACTATCATAGTAACTATACCTATCTCTTTTATTTTCGCGAAAAGTTCGATTTCATCAATCGAGAGAAATAATCGCTTGCCCTCCTATTCTGCTATTCTAAGTGAGAAAAAATCCTACACTTTAATGCATTAGTTATCCATTAAATGTGAATTACGTGCATTAATTATCGATTAGGTATGCATTATACGCATTAGTTATGCATTGCTTCTAATAATATCTATCATCTATCTATTAATATTACTTTTACCTTATGTGTGTTCTTACACCGTACGACTATAGTGAATACACCAAATAGCGCAACAGAATAATACTAGAACAGAAGCATAACAGAATATTAGAATAGTAGAATAGCTATAGAACCTAGAGTTCTACGAGGAATATATGATTTTATAAAGGTCTCAGGAAAAGCCGTTCGGATTTCAAAATTTGAAATAGCAACGTATCTGTTTTTTTACATGCATAAATACTCTTCAGTGTCCTCTCAAAACCCGAATCCGTTCGCAGCCTTAATCTAACATGGTTGTGGCATAGTATCTTGGAAGCTGCACGACCACAGACTCTGACTCCTTATATTTCCATAAGCTAAAAATTAATAACTCGGTCAAAAGTGATGCAGAATACTTCAGACCATCAAGATACACGCAGTTTTATCCTATATCCTCGAATCAATTAAAGTTTTAAAAATCAATCAGAAGTACTTAGCGTTTTGCAAAGACTTTCTGTAAATGTTTGGAAATAGCGAAGGTTTTATACTAATCTTAAGTAGAGAATCAGGTTGGCGTCAGGAATCAGTGAAGAGCAGTCCTGGCACTCCTTGGAAACCTCATGCGAGGTCGCAACCATGTTCAATGAAGACTCTGGACTCTTTCCGTTTTGTATAGGACACTGCCGACCACTTATCCATGTAAAAAGGAAAATTCC